GGATGACATGGCTATGTGTAAACTATGTGTGCATAGGAACTGTGATCTAAATCAAAGTCTGCTGAAAAGTGATGGAGCATCCTTGCCCCTTCACATTATCCCCCTCCTCCTGTAGGTTGACGATGTGCGGCAACCTTGAAAGGTAGTCTGCAACCACATTGGCCTTGCCAGGTCGATGTCGAACATTGAACCTAAAAGGTTGTAAGGACAAATACCACCTAGTGATTCGGCTGTTATAATCTTTCATGGAGTTGATCCAAGTGAGAGCTCTGTGGTCTGTTTCGAGATTAAACTCYCTTCCAAGTAAGTAATATCGTAAGCTTCCCAAAGCCCACTTAATGGCCAGACCTTCTTTTTCCACAGTGGAATACCTGGTTTCACGTGGCTGCAGTTTTCGACTTAAGTACAAAATTGGGTGTTCTTCACCAGGGTCACCCTGAGCGAGAACTGCTCCAAGTCCAACAGCTGATGCATCAACCTGTACTAGAAAAGGTTTGTTAAAGTCAGGACTTTTTAGAACTGGAAATGAACAAAGGCAGTTTTTCAGTGTTCCAAAAGCTTTTTCACATTCTTCTGACCAGGTTACTGGGTTTTTCTTGTCTTTGGTAGTCAAGGCTGTAAGTGGTGCTGCAATGGTTGCAAACTGAGGGACAAACCTTCTGTACCAGCCAGCCAGTCCCAAAAAWGATCGGACTTCTTTTTTGGTGTGTGGTTGAGGGTAATTTCGGATAGCTTCCACCTTATCTACCTGTGGACGCACCTCTCCTTGTCCAAGCTGGTAACCCAGGTACTGTGTTTCTTGCTGTGCCCAGTCACATTTTTATGATGCTGGACACATTTATCTCCATCTCCAGCAGTATCAATGTCAGGCCGTGGTGGATAACAAGCTCCAGTGACCTTAGCTTTGCGAACAGGACACACAGAAGCTTTATGGCCAGGTTGCTGACAATAAAAGCAGATAAAGTCCTTACCAGATTGTCGTGGATTGGACACAGTRTTGGTGGTACCTGGAAGATCATGGCCACTCTCCCTCTTGCCAAACCTTGGCTGAAAAGGCCGCCCGGTTGGATGAGCTGCACCAGTTGAACGTGTTGCTGATCCTCCTTTCCTTGCATTAGCGTACTGTGCAGCCAGTTTTGCAGCCTCCATTCCCTCTGATGGCTCATGCTCCTTCACCCATGTCCTCACCTCGGCAGGTAGCACACRCAGTAGTTGTTCCAAGATGATGGTCTCAGCAATCTCCTCCTTATTGTGCTGTTCAGGCCGAATCCAGCGTCTGTAGAGGCTCTTCAGACGGCAATATGTCTCARTGGGGTGCTCACCATGTGGAACTGAGGTTGCTCGAAATTGATGCCTGTAGGTCTCTGGTGAAACATCAAATTTGGTCAGCAGTGCTTCCTTCAGTTCGTTGTAGCAGTGGGCTTTATCTTCATCCATTGCAGTGTAGGCCTCCAGCGCCTTACCAGATAACAATGGAACTAGTCGACAGGCCCATTCACGTTTAGGCCACTTCCATGTCTTTGCAATACATTCAAAACGCATCAAATAATTCTCAATGTCCTCTCCAACTTGATATGGAGGAATCTTAGGGTCTGAATAATGCCTCCTACCAGATCTTGTACTGCCAGATGTAGTATCTGTAGTATCGGAGTCTGTAGAATCTGAGTCTGACTCTGACTCATTGGTGTGATGAAAAACTGGTGTTGACCTTTTTCCTCTGGAGCTTTTTGCTGTCCGAGAGCTTGTTGTTGGACGATTAAGTCCTTTCTTTT